TGGTCTCAATCTCTTGACCTCATGATCTGCCCGCCTCAGCCTCCCAAAGTGCTGGGATTACAGGCGAGAGCCACCGCGCCCAGCTGCAGATTGCATTTTTTAGCTGTTTAAGGGCCACATCTTTGTAGTATATTTTCATTGTCCCCAGGAGAACTGGTCACTGCCTTTCACCCAGGACAAGTCATTAAGTCAGCTGAGGTGGCTGCAGCCTCTCAAGGGAGATGGTCATCAGGAGGACTGAAGTGAGGCCTGGGTGCTTGAGTATGGCCAGCCGATACTCAAGTAGTCTTAAAAAGATAGTCTGGAATAAAAGCTGCCAATGACTTTTCACTATACATGCAGAAATGCAAGCAACCCGTGGAGAATTGTTTTCAAACAGCCTAGAAGGGGTTCTTCTGTTCCCTTCTGCTCCGGCCAGCCTCTTATCCTTCAAGAACTAGTGCAGGCACCCCTGTCTCCAGGAAGCCCTCTTTCCTTGCTCCAGGCTGGTTACATGCCCTCCATTCTGCAGGACCCGTAAAGTGTGGTGCCTTCTGCTGCTCACATTGAATTGCAACTAGCCCCATGGCTCAGCAAGCCTCAGATTTGAGTCTTGTACTCACTCTAAACCATAAAATTCCTTCATACAGATTTGGAAAAGATGTCCCTTCTTCTGAGGGGACATGGGCCCAAGACAGGGTATTGGCCCTGATAAGTGGCACACAGACTGGATTTCAGCTCCGCTCGTCCCCTCAGCCATGCAGCTTTGGCAGCAAACGCCTTCCGTGCCCGTACGTGCTAGCCTTGAGTTGATTTACCTTTTCAAGAAGATCCGAGACGTCCCCTGCCTGCCCCCACCCAGGAACTTGGATAATCCCTGCAAGGAGCCTGGGAAGTCAGTATATAATATGCATTTTCATTTTAAGAATGGGGAAACTGAGGCTCAAAGTTGTTAAGGTTGTGCACAGGGCTTGCAGCTGGCCTGGAGCCCAGGTCTTCCGGCTTCAGTTCAGTTCTTCCCACTGAATCACTGAGTAGGTTTTCTGACCCGGAAGCCAAACATTTCAGGATTTCCTGCTGGTTTAGGGCTGCATGGGCTGCACGGGGGCGGTTTCTGGACAGCTTTCCTGGAAGCCAGTGTGTCCCAGCAAACTGGTAGGAGAAAAGCCACCATTGGGAGATGGCACTTTCCCTCCAAAGCCCTGCTCCGCAGGACCTTCCTGTGAAGGCAGGGCCTGCTCCAGCCACAGCTGCTCCCCCTCCTCCAACCGGTGATCCCACTGAGCAGAAGGCATCTGAATCCTGGATCCCGGCTGGCTGAGCAGGTACCTGGCAACCGCACCCGCAAATGTGTGCCTAGCCTTGCAGACATGGCCTTGGGCCTGCTGAGAGGGGAAGGCAGGCTCATCTGTGAGTGTATGTGGGGTGGGGGAAGGGGTGTCTACACTGCACCCAGGGGACACCCCCCACTCTGCTTCTCTGGCTGCTCCCTGCCCCCGGGCTTCTGTTCTTCTCCACTCACCTCACCTGTGGGTCTGTCCCTGCCAGAAGAAACTTGCTGATTTCTGGGGTGAAGGCAATACACCCATTAAGGGGTTGTAGGGCCATCCTGGCCAGGCCTCTTCAGTTTGGGACATCTCATGGCAGGCAGGACACTGTGCCCAGCTGTCATGGGAGGGCCATGGGGATGGGGAGGCACAGGGCCAGGCACACCTGGTCTCTCTGGAGAAACCCTGGTAGCTTCTCCCAGGACTGCTGGCCTGGTCCCACCCACAGGCTGTGCAGGGTAAAAGCGCAGGAAGGAGGGAGCCAGAGGCCATGGGGAGAGGGACAAACGCCAGGGAGGAGACACAGACCCTGCCGTGCATCAGGCCACTGGCCTGGTCACCCTTGGACACACACACGCCCAGCACTGCACTCCTCAGCCCTCGCTCGGGGTAGTGGAGACGTCAGGACTCATCAGTTGCATCCTGGGCCCATGAGCCAGGTCACAACAGCCACTGCCTGCTTTTCCGACTTTGGTTTTCTAAGATCCGTCACTTGGGGTGCTGCATGGGGGCAGGAGAGAGCCGTGGGTTTAGGGTCAGTCAGCCCTGAGTTCAAACTCATTTCGTTAGCTTGAACTGGGTGGGACAAGTCACCCCGTTACAGACTAAATTGTGTCCCTCCAAAAATGCATATGTTGAAGGCCTGACCCCCAGCACCCTAGGGCGTGCATTTGTGTGTGTGTGTGTGTGTGTGTGTGTGCATGTGCACGCATGCGTGTGCCCAGCCCTCCACCCTGAGGCTAATGCTGGAGTTCACCTGTCAGGAGAGGCCGGGGAGCACTCATGAGCCACCAGCGGGGTTACCTGGAATATTTGTCATTGCCCATTCTGTGAAAACTCATTTTCTCACAGTTCTGAAGGCTGGAAGTTCGAGATCAACGTGTTGGTAGGGTTACTTTTTCCTGAGACCTCTCTCCTGAGCTGGCAGAGAGCCACCTTCTCTCCTCACACAGCCTCCTCCTGTTCACAGGTCCCTGGTGTCTCTTTTCTTATAAGGACATCAGTTGTATTGGATTAGGGCCCACCTGAATGACCTTATTTATTTATTTATTTATTTATTTGAGACAGAGTCTTGATCGTCTCCTGCGGGAGTGCAATGGAGTGATCTCGGCTCACTGCAACCTCCACCTCCAGGGTTCAAGTGATTCTCCTGCCTCAGCTTCCTGAGTAGCTGGGAATTAGAGGCTCCCACCACCACGCCTGGCTGATTTTTGTGTTTTTAGTAGAGACAGGCCATGTTAGTAGAGAAAGCCTTGTTGGCCAGGCTGGTCTCAAACTCCTGACCTCAAGTGGTCCATTGCCTTGGCCTCCCAAAGTGCTGAGATTATGGACATAAGCCTCCATGCCTGGCCTAACATTAATCATCTCTTCAAAAGCTCTATCTTCAAATGCAATCAACTTCCCATTTTTCCAGTCACAGCCCACTGGGGGCAGTGGGAATATCTGTACTCTTGAAGCTCACATTATGTTTTCTCCTGGCCCTGTGTCAGGCCCCCCAGCTTTCCCGGTCATAGCTCCCTGGGGGCAGACACATCCACATGACAAGTGCTCCAGATAACCCCTCTCCTGCTCTCGGGGGGCTCACGAGGGCTCACCGGCTTCTTCTGACAGGTGGATTCCAGCATTGGCCTCAGGATGGAGGGCGGGCCTGGCACACATAGCAAATACACACACACACACACGTGCGCGCACACACACACATACGCATGCACACATACACACGTTCTTACAGCGGCTCTCTCAATGCAACCCACTGGCAAGCTCCATCTCCTTCCTGGAAACCAGGCAACAGAACCCAGAGCGAGGCAGGTGCTGCATGCACCCTCTGAACCACAGCTCCACCCCAAACCTGGGCCACACGGTGGTTGGGGAAACAGAATCCCCCAACCTTTCCCACCAGGCTTATAAGCTTGAAGATGGGTTTTGAAGAATGTATGGGCATCTGCCAGCATGTGTGAGACTGCACGGGCCTGGTGGGAGGCAGGGTGCTGCTGGCCCGAAAGCCGGGGCAGGAGGCTGTGTTGCCCAGCCCAGCCCAGGGCTGACGGGAGCTTGGAAGCAGAGGAAGAGGGTGGTGTCTGCCTTGGTGGGGACTGGGGTGGGGGTGTTGGGGGCAATCTAAGATCACAACTGGGCATCCTCACCCTCTGGGTATTTGCCTTTTTTTCACATTGGTGACACTGACCTTCGGGACCAGGCTGCATCTAAGAGCACCCGCTGCTGCTCGCACCATGCTGGCCTGGGCCCAGAGTCTAATGGGTGTTTGTTGACTGGCTGAGTGAGCTGGTGGGTGCCAAGGAATTTAACTCAGCCCAGTCCAGATGCCGTTCCCTGGATGCTGGGCTCAGGGCCATTGATGCTGGGTTCCGCATGAGCTTTGTGCTGCTTCCCAGGGCCTAGAGGAGCATTGACGTGGGAGGAGCCCACGAGCACCTATTTCCAATCAACACTGAGGACGCAGACACAAATGGTGCACAGCTGGTGGAGAAAACAGGCCTCAGCTGGGTTCAGTGGCTCATGCCTGTAGTCCCAACATTTTGGGAGGCCAAGGTGGGCGGATCACTTGAGGTTAGGAGTTCGAGACCAGCCTGGCCAATATGGTGAAACCCCATCTCTACTGAAAATACAAAAATTAGCCGGGCGTGGTGGCGCACCTGTAATCCCAGCTACTTGAGAAACTAAGGCATTAGAATTGCTTGAACCTCAGAGGCAGAGGTTGCACAGTGTGCCGAGATTGAGGCACTGCACTTCAGTGTGGGCAAAAGAGCAAGACTCTGTCTCAAATTAAAAAAAAAAAAAAAAAAAAAAAAAAGAAAAAAAAAAAGCAGAGGCTTCAGTCGATAGTTACCATTTGATGGTCTGTCAGACAGTCTCTGGCCCAACCTGGGGAATTAGGAAAGGCTTCCTACTAGCCTGGGCAACACAGTGAAACCCCGTCTCTTACACAAAATACCAAAAAATTAACCAGGTGTGGTGGCACATGGCCATAGTCCCAGCTACTTGGGAGGCTGAGGTGGGAAGACCTCCTGAGCCTGGGTGGTTGAGACTGCAGTGAGCCCTGATCGAAGCACTGTACTCCCGCCAGGGCAGCAGAATGAGGAGATCCCGTCTCAAAAAACAAAAAAACAAAACAAACAAAAACAAAAAACAAAACAAAAAATGAGGAGGATGTATAGGAGATAGAAGGTGACGAGGCGAAGACTACAGGGAATGGAATCCCTGCGAGAGGTGACAGACGGTTCTGATCCTGAGCTGGGGATGATGGGAATCAAGGATGGTCGGAGGCAGAAGACCACCGGGCTTAGGGGCAGACAGAGGCCAGGGTCCCGAGGGTGCTCAGAGTATGCAACAGGCTCTGGCAGAGGACAGGATCCCCATGGCAAAGGGGTTTTCTGAAGCCACCTGGGAAGGGGGTGAGGCTGTGAATGGGGGGCTGGCTGTGCAGAGCTCCAGCGCCTTCGGGAAAGGAGATGCCATTTTCAAAAGGGCTTTTATTAAATTCTCCCCACACGATGGCTCCTGCAATCGGCCACGGCTCCGGGGCGTGCTGCAGGGAAAGGCCCTGTCAGTTTTCCCTGAGGCGGGGCTGGGCTTGTCCGTGGGTCCCTGGAGCTGGTCTTGCTTGGCGCTCCGGCATGTGTCTGGCGACTTCCGACGGGGCGCAGAACGACCAGGTCTCGGGGCGCTGGGAGCTAAGGGCAGGCTCTGGGGCAGGGGTGAGGGTCTCAACACGCATCCTACGGTACTCCTGAGATGCTGGGTCCACCCTGAGGGCACGTGGAGCAGCTGTGGCCGGCGCCGCTTCCTCGGCCAGTCCTGGGAAACTAAGCTCGGGCCCTTCCTTGCAAAGACCGAGGATGGCGTGGGCGTGGGGGGACTCAGGGGAAATGGCCGGAGGGGCTGCGTGTGAAGAGGGCGGGTTTGTTGGCGGCCGCGGCCCGGGGCGCCTCTCTCTTCTCTGAGCCTCGGTTTCCCTTTCCGTCTAATGAAGAACACGGCCTCTCAGTGTCTCAGTGCTGTGACCTGCCCTCAGGGATGGCCTTGGCCGTGCGTCCTGACATTTTCACAACTGTCCTACGACGTTGGCCTGGGCACGTCGTGGAAAGCCCCGTGTCCCTGTGTTGCGTGGGCGTCGCTGTCGGGGGTGTGCGGCCAGAGGTGCGCCTGGGGGTGACGGGGGAGCGCCCCGAGCCCCCGGCCCCGCCTGCGTCGCCCTCACAGGAAGTTGGGCTCCCGCACCACCAGGCAGGGCGGGCTCCCGCCACCGCCACCGCCGCCGCCGCCGCCGCCGCCGTCCAGGGGGCGGTAGACGAAGTGGAAGTCGCGCTTGGGCTCGCAGCGCAGCAGGTAGCCCTTGATGCGGTGCGGCAGCGCGTCGTCCGCCAGCTGGAAGCAGCGCCCGTCCACCAGCACGAACAGCCGGTGCGCCTGCGGCCGCGCCACCGCGAACTTCTCCGCGCACTGCACGCACAGCGCCTGGGCCGGGGTGTCCGCCCGCGACGCCAGCGTTCGCGCCTGCTGCTCAGGCTCCAGGTACGACACGCAGATGAAGTCCTGCGGAGACACGCGGAGCCTGCGGTCACGGCGGGGCCCTGTCTCCCCAGGCGGCCTCGGCCGGGCCCCCAGCCCTCTCCCGGCCCAGGCCCCTCCCTGGATGGACAGCGGGTGACGGCGCCCAGCGGGCGGGGAGTCCGGCACCTGCGCCATACCTGGCCGTGCCGTGAGCCTGCGGGGGACCCGCCCCCCTTCCCTGCCTCGCCTCCCAGCTGGGCAGACAGTTCTGGGGATGAATTAAGGGGCGTCTCGGAGACCCTGCAATGAGGAGCGCCCCCTGGCTGCCGGTCCACAGGCTTCCCACCGTTCGTTCATTCATTCATTCATTCCCTCCCTCCCTCCTTCCAGGTAATTCCCCGGCAACCCAGGCGCAATGCTGGGCACAGAGGGCAGCACAGATAAGGGATGTGCGAGCCGGCCCAGGCATCCCACAGTGCGGGCGGGCGGCACAGACCAGCCCCTTAGGGCTGCAAGGGCCCCGGGGCTCGGAGGAGCTGCGCAGGCAGGGCGCAATCGGGTGGGTAGGGCCCAGCCTGAGCCGGGCGGGCAGGGGGCAGGGCGAGGCGACGCCTGCGGCTGGGGCTGGGTAGTCGCAGCACCCGCAGGGCGCTCGCCAGCCGTCCTCCACCCTTAGGGCCCCCACCCCACACCTGCGGGCTTTGAATCCGCTCCCACTGCCTGTGTGGCCTTGGTTCCTCGAGCCTTGGCTGTGAAATGGGGACAGCGACCGCCTCCCAGGAGTGAGTGAGCAGACGCGGGAAGCTCCGGCGCGGAGCGGCCTCCGCCTCCCCCGGGCTCTGGGCTGCAGGAAGTGACACTGCGTGCGGGGCTGCCCCCTCGTGGCTCGCTTGGGAACAGCAGGCCTGCGCCGGGAGCGGCTGAAGATCTCGGCTTGGTGGAGAACCTGATGGCCACTGCTGGCGAGGGCTTAGGAGGGGCAGGGATCCTGTCAAGAGCTTCATGGGCACCACCCATTTTTCTTTCAGGACGGGAAAAGCCCGGCCCATTCCCTCTTAGTGGCTGCCTTAGGGCTCCCTGTCCTCCATTAGGCCTCCCAGGGTCCTATCCACCTGCTTGTGACTGTCCAGCTCTGGGCTTTCCTCCCCAGGGAAGGATGCCCACCCCTCAAGGCATGGGGTGCAGAGGAGGCACTGGGAGGGGGCAGAGGGTGGTGCCCTTCCCAGATCCCAGATGTGGTGCTGAGGGGGACCCCTCCCAAGCTTCCATCTCCCCAACAGCAGGTGGTCAATTTCACCCATGCTCTGCCTGGCTCAGCATCAGGAACTCCTAGGGTGGAGTCAGGAAGTACGGGCCCAGGCCAGGCATGGACCAAGAGTGTCCATGTCCCCACAGTCCATGGGGGGCCAGTGTGTTGGGAGGGGATGGGAACAAAGGTGTACTGGAGCTGGTGGCTCACACTGGCTGGGGAGAGCTGACTGCACACACTTCATTCCAGTTCCACATTCAGTGATGCCAAGTTGAAATTGGCCATGGAGTATTCACACCATGGAAATGGACAGATGCTAAAATCAGAGCTTTTGTTTTTTCCCCAGTCAGTTATTAAATTGATTAGCCATAGTCAGCCTGTTTGGACAGGAAAACTGAGTCCCAGAGTGGGGCAGGGATTGCTGAGTACAGCAAGCTTGTACAGGGCCAAGTCCAGAGCTCAAGCCTCCTGCTTCCCAGGCCTGTGCTCTGCTTATTACAGATGCACCATCTTGAAAGCCAGGAGTGGGGCTCAGGACTGGTGTGCTCTGGGTGTCAGAGGAGTGAGTCTGCATAGCTGCTTGCAGCTCTGGATATGCCTGGCTCAGTGGTCCAACTCCTTCCTTTTTTCATTTTCATACATCCAGTCCCACTCTGTCCCAGGCCCTGGGCTTGGGGTCCCTGAGCCATGTGAACCATGGGCTGTGCCTTCCCAGAGGTGACAGCTTCATATTCAGAGGATGATAGGACGTGATATGTGCTGTAAAGGGGGAGGCTGCCGGAAGCCCAGAGGAGGGGACCCCACCAAGCCTGTGGGAAGAGTGTGTGTGTGTGTATCAGGGAAGGCTTCTCAGAGGAGGGGCATTGGGGAAACTGAGTTGTCTTAAAGGATGGGCAGTGATGGCCAGTGAAGAAGGGGAGATTGGCCAGTTAGGGCAGAGGCTGAGAAGCCAGTGAACTGGGCTGGGCATGTTGGGGACCTGGGGACACCCGGATTTGATGCAGCCTGGGGCTGGGTGGGGCAGTGAAGTTGAGGAGGGGCAGGACTGGTTTGAATAGTGAGTCTGTATAGAGAGAGGTGTGGGGAGGGGTGGGCTGCCGGGCTGCTGGGGAGTACAGAGACCCTTGGCAGCTGCTACATTTGTCCAGTGACTAAGGGATGGGGCTGTAGATCAGACTGTGGGCTACTTAAAGGCAGGGACTGGGACAAAAAGTCCACATCTCCAGCCCTGGCAGGGTGCTGGGCCATAGGAGGCGCTAAGGAATGATGGGTACACGTGTCTCATTCCTCCCGCAGCCTTCCTGCCTGCCCAGCGAGAACACCAATGCCTGCTGATACGTTTCTAGGCGCACCCAAGTCCTGGACACACAGTGGCAGCAGGGGTTGGGGGCCCTTCCTTTGGTGTGGGGAGCCTCACTGCTCCCTAAGGCAGGGCTGGGCAGCTGGAGCAGCCAGGCGATGTCACGGCTCCTGAGCCAGTGGGCAGCAGGGATGGTGTCTGGGACAAGGTCCCACCGGGCCCCTCCCACTCCCGGTCCCAGCTGTCACTGTCACCTGCACGGAGGAGCGGGAGGCCCGGGCCTTGTTGAGCGTGCGCCGGCGCTCCCAGCGGTGGATGGAGTCCTGCACCTCCATGCTCAGCTGCCGGGTCACCGTGATCTTGTCGTAGTTCTTGATGTGCTCCAGGGCCCCGTAGGTGGTGGTCAGGTAGTAGGAACCTGCGTGGACAAGGGTGTGGAACCCGAGGTAGGACCGCCTCCGCCCACCAGAGACAAGGAGCTTGGCCTGCCCCACCCACCTCCTCCAAGCCCCGCCCACCACCGCTGCCAGCGGCACACCTGCAATGCGTCACCTGCTTCAACAGCTGAGCTCCACCCACGCCACCATCCAGCCTCCGCAAGCTTCCTAGACTTCAGCCCTGAGCTGCCTGGGCCTTGCTGAAAACTTTTCATTGGCTCCCCTTGGGGATGGAACTCTTGCTTATTTTAAAAATGATTTTCAAAACATTTACAAATTTAAAGGATACACAAGAAACAGAAATGGGAATACCTTCAGTGTGGGGAAAGGGGTGGGCGGGAGACAGAGTGGGCAGCAGACGTCTCACTGTGTGTCACATATAGATGGGCTCTCAGTTACAACGATTTGTTCCACTTAACGCTTTTTGACTTCATGATGGTGTGAAAGCGATATGCATCCAGTACAAACCATACTTCCAGGACCCACACAACCAACCTGTTTTTTACTTTCAGTACAGTATTCAATAAATTACATAAGATATTCAACACTTTATTATAAAATAAGCTTTGCATGATTTTTTTTTTTTTTTTTTTTTTTTTTTTTGAGACTAGGTCTGGCTCTGTTGCTCTGTTTCCTGGGCTGGAGTGCCGTGGTGAGATCTCAGCTCACTGCAACCTCTGCCTCCCAGGTTCAAGTGATTCTCCTGCCTCAGCATCCCGAGTGCCTGGGATTACAGGCACATGCCACCATGCCCAGCTAATTTTTGTATTTTTAGTAAAGACAGGGTTTCATCATGATGGCCAGGCTGGTCCTGAATGCCTGACCTCAGGTGATCTGCCTGCCTCTGCCTCCCAAAGTGCTGGGATTATAGGCATGAGCCACCATGCTCCACCTGTGTGAATGATTTTTGACACACACACAATAGGCTTTTTGATGATTTTGCCCAACTGTAGGCTAATGTAACTGTTCTGAGAACGTTTAAGGTAGGCTAGGCTAGGCTAAGCTATGATGTTCAGTAGGTTAGGTAAATTCAGTGCATTTCAACTTAAGATATTTTCAATTTACGATGGCTTTATTAGGATACAAACTCATTATAAATTAAGGAACTTTGACATGCTTTAGAATTTTGAGCCATGTGAATGTATTATCTATTCTAAAAATAATTTTTAAAAAGATGGAGAGGAAATTTTAATTATGGTTATACTATTACATGTAATTTTTAAAGATTGTAAATAAGTATAAATTTTGAATCATTCATTTATCCATTTCTTAAGTTAATTCACACATAGCTCACTGCAGCCTCCAACTCCTGGGCTCAAGTGATTGCGGGCTAATTTTTAAATTTTCTGTAGAGAAGGGGTCTTGCTATGTTGCCCAGGCTGGTTTTAAACTTCTGGCCTCAGGTGATCCTCCTGCCTTGGCTTCACACATATTCTTAATACATAGTGTTTCCTAAAGTAATTTAAGCTTTGAGATTCTTCAGACTGCAAAATTTTCATAAAGTTTTAAGATAAAAGGCACTATTTTACACGATGCTTACAAGTTCATTCTCTTGAGCTTGTTTGGGACTTTGGTTAAAGGTTTGAGAAATACTAACTTTGTTAAGCCCCCTCATTTTAGAGCGAGAAAACTGAATCCCAGAGAGGGAAGGTGACTTGGCCAAGGTCATAGAGAGATCAAGGGCCCCGAGGAGGGGGAGGGGACCCTGGACATCCTGCTCTCTCTGGTCTCCAGTGCTGCCCACCCTCCATGATGCTTCCTTGGGCTTTCCCCACACTGGAGAGCCCTTTCTGCCCAGCCTTTCCAGGGCCAGGATGATGATTTTTTTCTTTTAGATGGAATTTTGCTCTTGTTGCCCAGGCTGGAGTGCAATGGCACGATCCCGCCTCACCACAACCTCCGCCTCCATCAAGCGATTCTCCTGCCTCAACCTCCTGAGTAGCTGGGATTACAGGCGTGTACCAGCATGCTTGGCTAACTTTTTGTATTTTTAGTAGAAATGGGGTTTCACCATGTTGGTCGGGTTGGTCTCAAACTCCTAATCTCAAGTGATCCACCCGCCTTGGCCTCCCAAAGTGCTGGGATTACAGGTGTGAGCCACCGTGCCTGGCTAGGATGATGATTTTTTTGACATGAGACAGATTCTACTAGTGTCCCACTCAAATCATGTCCACCCCTTCTACCTAACTGAACTGTGCTTTTATTTGGGGAAGGAACATCAACTGAAATGCTCACTTCCCAGACTCACTTGCAGCTTGTAGAGGCAGGAGACTCTGCTGTGGCCCCTTAGATGTAAGTGGAAGACTGGGTGGGGCTTCCAGGAGAGCCTTTGAAAGAGGCAGACTTAGTGGATGTATCCCTTTGGGTTTTTGCCTGTCCCCCTTCCTTCTGCCTGGAACCCAGAGGCATTGCTGGGGGCACTGCAGCTGTCTTCTGATCAGAGGTGACAGGCACAAAGCCAAAGCCCACAAGCTAAGGAAAAATGGCAACAGCTGGGCCCATGGTTCCCTGGATACAAACGGCCATCCTTACCAGGTGCTTAGCCTGGACTTCTTGATGCAAGAGACAACTTCCTTGCTCTGATTTAAACCACTATTAGTTACTTTTGTGGGTTACATGGAGCCCAAAGCATTCCTAACTGTTGTACTGGGTGAAGCTGGCCCACACATCTCTACCAATTCTACAGCCAATATAGGACAAGTTCACACCCTGGTCCAGTAGGTGGCAGGGCGTGGGGGTGGGGGTAAGATAAAAGGGTTTATGGCCATGGGATCACCCACCCTTTCATAGCAGCGTAGGAAAGAGATGGCCGGGTGTGGTAGCTCATGCCTGTAATCTCAGCACTTTGGGAGGCTGAGGTGGGCAGATCACTGCCTACACAATGAAACCCCACCTCTACCAAAAATACAAAAGTTAGCTGGGCAAGGTGCCAGTAATCCCAGCTACTCTGGAGGCTGAGACAGGATAATTGCTTGAACCTGGGAGGTGGAGGTTGCAGTGAGACAAGATTGCACTACTGAACTCCAGCCTGAAGTGAGATTCCATCTCAAAATAAATAAATAAATAAATAAATAAATAAGATAATGAAAAATAAAAGAGAGACATTTTTGGAAAAAACTAAATGTAAAGCTACCATGGAGCTTGGCGTGGTGTCCCTAATGAGAGAAGAACCACTGAGCCACTTATGTATCTCCCTTTTGAGTTGTTTAAAGCCCCACCAGGCCAGAAAGCCGGCTCTGGCGCCCCTGCCCTTGCTGTCCCGACTCTACATCCTCTACCTGGCATCTCTCGTCCTGTTTCCTGTCTGGCTTATGTCTCCCTGGCTGGCAATGGAAGAGGTGAGTGCAGTGTGCTGTCTGTCAACCTTCAGTTTTGGAGTCAGAGAGCAGGGTCTAGGTCTCTGCCCCGTAGCAGCTGGCCCTGTAATCTTAGGCGAGCTAATGTCCTCTCTATGCCTCAGTTTCCTCATCTGCAAATGCCATAAAGCTGTGAGAAGGGAAGGAGTATGTGTAAAGTCGAGGGCTTCGGAGTATGTGAATAACGTATGGTGGCTATGAGGCCTCAGGGAGGGGCTCTGGGGCATCTCACAGCCCTGCAGCGGCACTCCTGCCTGCTCCAGCCCAGCTTCTTCCTGGGGCCTCCCTCTCTGCCAACTTCCCTCTTGGACTTGCGGCCATGAAATGTCTGCCAGGACCACTAGGTGGCAGGCGGCCCCACCGTGAGTTTTGGAGCAGGGTGTTCTCCCTGGAGCGAAGGGAAAAACCCACTGCCCCTTGAAAGATACCAGCTGGGCATGGCCAGCTGTCAGGCAGACTAAGGGGGGGCGCTGGGAACACAAGAGATAGGCTAGGAAGGGGGTGGGGGCCCCAGCAAGCTGGCACTCAGGCCCTCCCTTGCACAAGTCCCTGATCTCTCCTGCCCCACATGCCTACTGTAAGGAAAGTGGGACCCCGTGGCTCATCCTGTGCTAAACTGCAGCATGTGGAACAGGCTGAGAGAATCTGAAGGTCCCCAGCTGCACAGAATCTGACTGGAAGGCTTTCTGTTGAACAGAGAATGGCTTGCTCACCTGAACTATGAAACACAGAAAGGCAGGGCCCAGCTCCATCCCTCATCCTGCCTCATGTGCTAAGGTCTGAATGTTTAGGTCCCCCTACCCTCAAATCCTATTTTGAAATCCTAACCTCCTATGTGATGGTGTTAGGAGGTGTTAGGGGGCCTTTGGGAGGTCATTAGGTCATGAGGGTGGAGCCCTCATAAATGGGATTAGTGCCCTTATAAAAGAAGTACCAGCCAGGTGACGTGGCTTGCATTGTAATCCAAGCACTTTGGGAGGCTGAGGCAGGCAGATCACTTGAGGTCAGGAGTTCAAGACCAGCCTGGCCAACATGGTGAAACCCCATCTCTACTAAAAATACAAAAATTAGCCAGGTGTGGTGGCACAGGTCTGTAATCCCAGCTACTTCAGAGACCAAGAATTGCTTAAACCTAGGAGGTGGAGGTTGCAGTGAGCCAAGATCACATCATTGCACTCTAGCCTGTGTGACAGACCGGGACGCTATCTCAAAAAAAAAAAAAAAGAAAAAAAGAAAAAAAAAAAAAGTACCAGAGAGCTGCGTTGTCCCTTCCACCATGTGAAGATACAACAAGAACCCACCATCTATGAACCAGAATGTGGGGTTCTCACCAGACACTGAGTCTGCTGGTGCCCCGATCTCAGACTTCCCAGCCTCCAGAACTGTGAGAAATAATTCCCATGATTCTAAAACCATCCAGTTTATAGTATTTTGTTAAGCATCCCTAACAAACTAACACCCAGCCACCTCTGTAGAATACTAGAGTGTCCAGACAGTGTGAAAACTGCCAGTCTAGCCCAGTGTCTTCACTTTTCCAAGACAGAGAGGGTAGGTGCCTTGCCCAGGGTGTGCAGCCAGTTGGAGGCAGAACGGGGTCCCAAATCCAGCCTCCAAAGTGCTCTTTTCACTCCACTTTGTGTTAGTTCTCTTAGGTTCTAGCAGCTTAAGTTCCCAGGATTCTGGGGATTCTGGGAACCCCCACCTCCCACCCTAAGCATCTCTGAGCTCTGTGGGGCCTCAGTCCCCCTCCTCACCTGTACTGCAGAGGTTGAGGTGATCAGGTACCTCTGCATCACCACCCCACTAAGCCAGAAGGGCTAAGCCGGGGAAACTCAGAGACACCACCTCACCCCTGCCCCTCTGCCCTGGGGCCCAGATCCACGAAGATGAAGGTTCCAAGCTGTTGAAAGGTGGAAGCCCCTGTGCTAGCTGGAGAGCCTTAAGATCATCTTGGTGCCAGAGGCAAACACCTTCGAGGCAGGCTGTCCTAGGTGCTGTGACCTCCCATACCCTGGCTATTGAAGTAGGGCAGAGAGAGGTGCAGGGAGGAACCCATGCCACTCACCCCACCTGCTGGTGTGCACAGTGTGGTGTGGGTTTGTCCTCCGGCCCTTGGAGCTGCCATGGGCAAGGTCTGATACTGCTGTGGTCAGACAGGGCTGCCAGCAGTGTGCCCTCTGCCCTCCCTATGGTGCCAGAGGTGGGGTGGGGGGCTCTGCCCCAAGTCTGATAAAAGGGCTGGATGCAGGGCATTCAGGCAGCCTTGGTCAGGATCTAGGAACTTTTTAGACCTTTATGAACTTTTTTTGTACTTTGGCTTGTCCCCCAAATACTTAAAGTAGCCCAGAACTGACATGCTCTCCGGCCTCAAGAACTTCTTTCTCACCCAAATCCCCTAGGCTGGGAACAGGAAGAAGGATCCCAGGAGGCCATGGCGGGATTGGGGTGGGGGGTGGCAAATCCATAGGAGAGGGATGCTGGCCCAAGGATGTCCCTGCCCTTTTCCTGCTCAGCCACTATGCCTGTGGTTCCTCTGTGTGCATGCTGAGAGCTTCCCTTCCTTGGGGAAACCAAGGAAGAAGGCCCATGAAGGCCCGAGGAGGTAGAAGTCCCAAAATATGGGGTGCAGAATAAGGCATTCATTCATTCATTCACACAAGGCTATCAGCCTTGTCTTGTCCTACACCACGGCCCACGTGTCTGGCATGGATGAATGGGTGGGTGGATGAGTGGAGGGGTAGATAGGTAAGTGGATGGGTAGATGAATAGATGATGGACAAGAGGGTGGGTGATTGGGTAGGTGGGTGGATGGGTAGATGAATATGTGGATGGGTGGGTGAGTGAATATGTGGAAGGGTGGGTGGATAGGTATATGGGTGGATGTGTGAAAGTGGATGTGTGGGTGGGTGAATATGTGGATGGGCAGGTGGGTGGACAGATGAGTAGATGGATGGATGGTGTGGATGGATG